CCCCCCCCCCCCCCCCCTTATATCAAAGAAGACATTCGGCATTTGTTTTTTAGGGATTGGCTAACTTCACTTAGCATAATCTGCTCTAATGCCATCTATTTCCTTGCAAATGCCATGATTTTGTTATTTTTTAGTGCTGAGTAATATTCCATTGTGTATAAATGCCACATTTTTTTTTATCTATTCATCTATTGAAGGGCATCTAGGTTGGTTCCACAGTCTAGCTATTGTGAATTGTGCTACTATGAACATTGATTAGCTGTGTCCCTGTAGTATGCTCTTTCTAGGTCTTTTGGGTATAGTCCGAGAAGGGGAATAGCTGGGTCAAATGGTGGTTCCATTCCCAGCTTTCAGAGGAATCTCCATACTGCTTTCCAAATTGGCTGCACCAATTTGCAGTCCCACCAGCAATGTACAAGTGTACCTTTTTCCCCACATCCTCGCCAGCACTTGTTATTGTTTGACTTCATAATGGCTGCCATTCTTACTGGAGGGAGATGGTATCTTAGAGTGGTTTTAATTTGCATTTCTCTGATTGCTAGAGATGGTGAGCATTTTTTCGTGTAATTGTTGATTGATTTTATATCCTCCTCTGAGAAGTGTCTGTTCAGATCCTTGGCCCATTTGTTGATTGGGTTATTTGTTTTCTTGTTGTTTAATTTTTGAGTTCTTTGTATACTCTGGAGATTAGAGCTCTATCTGAAGTGTGAGGGGTAAAAATTTGTTCCTAGGATGTAGGCTCCCTATTTACCTCACTTATTATTTCTCTTGCTGAGAAAAAACTTTTTAGTTTGAATACGTCCCATTTGTTGATTCTTGATTTTAACTCTTGTGCTATAGGTGTCCTATTAAGGAATTTAAAGAAGATTACCACTAAACAGGGAAGAGAGGTGGGAGGGAATGGGAGAACGGAATTGCATGGAAAATGGAAGGAGATCCTCATCACTATATAAAATTACATATATGATGCTGTGAGGAGGAAGAAATGTGTCACAGTAGATTGGGTAGAGGGAGGGGAGGGGAGGGGAGGGGAGGGGGGATAGGGAGGGCAGCACAATACAACAGACACTAGTATGGCTGTATAACCAATGTGATCCTGCAATCTGTACACGTGGAAAAATAAGAATTTATACCCCATTTGAATCAAATGTATGATATGTCAAGATCATTGTATTGTCTTGAGCAACTAATAAAAAAAGAAAGAAAAGGGGATTATAGGTGATTGCTCTTTCCCAAATTTTCTTTAACATTGTTGAGCTTACATTATAAAATTAAAATTTTCATATTTTTTATAATTTATCACAAAGTATAATTATTTCATTCTGTTTAATAGTTCCTAAAAAAATTTTGCACGTCAGAATCAATAATCTTAGTTTTATCAAATTTATTATTTAAAAGGAAGAAATGCGTTTATTTCATTTCTGTTCTAAAATATGTGACTTTTATGTTGTCTTAACATTTTATCTCTAGGGCGTCATTATGGAGCAGTAACTTGTGAAGGCTGCAAAGGATTTTTTAAAAGAAGCATCCGAAAAAACTTAGTATATTCATGTCGAGGATCAAAGGACTGTATTATCAATAAACACCATCGAAACCGCTGTCAATACTGCAGGTTACAGAGATGTATTGCGTTTGGAATGAAACAAGACTGTATGTATTAGCTTTAAAGGAGAAAATACTTTTAAGAATTCCAGGAAACTAGAATTATATTCAAATTAACACATTAAAAATGTCAAATATATATACCTTTTCATTTCAGTTTTCCAACTCGGAATATAAGAATATGTACATATGTGTGTTATTCAACAAACATTTTTTGACTGTTAATATATCTAGTATATATTTGTAATTTGAAGTTGGCACCCAAAAAAATATGACTAACTAGATTCGAGTTTACTTTTTTTTTTTCCCCCTAACAGTGCCTGAGGATCAGACCCAAAACCTCACATGTGCTAGGCAAGCACTTTACCTCTCTAAGCTATAAACCCCAGTTTGCTTTTTGATTAAACTACTAAAAAGTGACTTAATAAGATAATGATAATGGCTAATAAAAGCTCTCAGAATACAAACACTACACTTAGCATATATATTAATTTCCTCTCAGGGCAGTTCTCTACAGAAGATACTATTGTTATCCATTTTACATTTTACTAGACAGATGTTGAAAAACTTATCCAAGGTATACAACTAATAAGGAGCACAACTTGGCTTTGAATGCTGGCAATTGTTTTTTAATTTTTTTGAATGCTGGCAATTTGTCTGCCAGAAAATGTACAGTTTACAACCATACTACTTTATCTAGTAAGTAATATGAAATAAAATTCTTATAAGTACTATGTATACCTACGTGAATTTAATATATGTTACAGTATATATATTATAAATAAAGACCAGACAGTTGAAATATTTGTAAAAAAAAAAACTCCTTGCCCTTAGCTTAAAAAAGATCCATCTTAGACTTTTATGTGTTTATTAGTATAATTTTTAATTGGTCACATTTTATTTCATTTTTTTGTTTAAACTCATAGATACATGAGGGATTCATAACTTTGTGTCAATGAGCTTTTAAAAAATAAAAATTCCTTCGTATTTCTACCACAGGAGTGGAGGAGAGACAGGAAACTGAGAGATGCAACTGGTTTATTTTACAAATATGAAGCAATTTTTAAAAATTTGCTTGTATTTTAAGTATTGATGGTTATCTGTCGAATTCAGTGTAGTGGCCTTGTCTTCCATTATTAGCAGGATTGTTGACCTAGAGCTTACATTTATAATAGGCATGAATTCTGTATTATGATATAATCAATCCGTTTTCATAGCTGTTCAGTGTGAAAGAAAACCCATTGAAGTATCCCGAGAAAAATCTTCTAACTGTGCTGCTTCAACAGAGAAAATCTATATCCGAAAAGACCTTCGAAGCCCATTAGCTGCAACTCCAACTTTTGTAACAGATAGTGAAACTGCAAGGTATAGTAAAACAAACATTAAGTAGTTAGTTATTTTTTTTTCCCAGTGATACTGAGACATAAACTTATTTGTTACAGGTCAACAGGACTGTTGGATTCAGGAATGTTTGTGAATATTCATCAGTCTGGAATAAAAACTGAGTCAACTGTGCTGATGACACCAGATAAGGTGTGTTTAGGGCAATTTAAAGCTAAATTTTTAAAATATAATAATTCCTTTAAGAAAGGAAGAGAACTAACTTTTGTTTAATTACTATCTGCCCAGACACTGTGCTTTACTATTTGTCTTTTTATTAAGTGGTTATAACAATGTTGTATATTAAGTTTCTCTTACAAACAGGCCCAAAGGACTCAGATTGTAACTGAGAAGAGAGTATGCCCAGGCTTCAATCACCAGCACAAAAACTTGAGAATCTAGCTGTATAAGTTGTTTCATGGAAGGAGAATACATGTGTCTTTAAGGTTTAGCTGAAAATTATAATACTTAAAAGTTAAAACTGTTTACTCATATATAAGAAGGCTGTTTGGAGCAGTGGCTGCAAGCATGGAGTACAGTCATATAGACTTGACTTCCTGTCCCGCCTGTGCTTTTTACTGCCTGATTTTAAAGGATCATTCTTTTGTTGATGATAGAGGGATGGTGATTCCTGTCTGACAGGGTTGTTATGAAGATTAAGTAAAATACACATGGAAGTAATAGTCATGTAATTGATATTTATTAAATAATTATCTGCCTACTGATTAATTTGAGGAGAGCACAGAAATTGTTTGTTTTGCTATACATTCACCAAAATCAACTTCATTCACATAGAGAATCAATAGAACAAATGAAACAACAGAAACACAGTTATTATTTTAGGATTAAGAACAGTATGAGGGGCCTGGGGTTGTGGCTCAGTGGTAGAGCGCTTGCTTCACATGTGTGAGATCCTGGGTTTGATCCTCAGCACCACATAAAAATAAATCAGTGAAATAAAGGCATGTGTCCAACTAAAAAATAAATATTAAAAAAAAAAAAAGAACAGTATGAGGGGCTGGGATTGTGGCTCACCTACCGTGTGTGAGGCCCTGAGTTCCATCCACAGCACCACATAAAAATAAATAAATAAAATAAAGATATTGTGTCCAACTACAACTAAAAAATAAATATTAAAAACAGTATGAATAAAAACCATAAAGCAAAGTACTAATTGAAAAAATATTATTAAAGGATCTTGCCAGTAGGCCATAGAAGGAGGTTTGGAAGTCCTCTCATTAGGTTTGATGGGATAATTTGAGCATTAAAGAAAGAATGTAATAAGAGGCTGGGGTTGTGTAACAAATTCAGATATCTAAAAATGTATTAATTGAAAATGATACGCAGGGGCTGGGGTCGTGGCTCAGTGGTAGAGCACTTGCCTAGCAAGTGTGAGGCACTGCGTTCAATCCTCAGCACCACATAAAAAAATAAATTAAATAAAGATATTGTGTCCATCTACAACTAAAAAAATATTTAAAAAGAAAATCTGTCACCATTAGAAGTTGCTAAGGTATCAATTCATTGCTCTGAAAAATTGATGAAGGAAGAAAATGAAGCACTTAGTTATATTTACTAAGTGAAGAGTTAAGGAAAAAAATGTTTCTAATGAATTACAGCTAATGCATACAGGATATATTCTATAGTTGTTAGCAAACATAAAAAATGAAGTCAAATGGGGGAAAGTGTATTGTGTAAGAAAAAGCCAACATCTTAACCGTGTATAAAGATTGTTCAACTCCAATAAAAAAAGAACATGGGATTGGGTGATTTTTTTTTTTTTTTTTTTTTTTAAAGGGAGTGGGGGTGTTTGAACCCAGAGGCTTAATCATGCCAGGCAAGCATTCATTTATCTTAGTGCACTTAAAGCATTTTGTAATCTAGAATTGGACATTCAGATTTTAAAATAAATTGATGCCAATTTGCAGAATTTTAATACTTTTTTTTTTTTTTTTTTTTTAGGCTGAATCATGTCAGGGAGATTTAAGTACATTGGCCAGTGTGGTTACCTCATTAGCAAATCTTGGAAAAACTAAAGATCTTTCTCAAAATAGTAATGAAATATCTATGATGGAAAGTTTAGGCAATGGTGATTCATCTTTGTGTGAATTTCAAGAAACACAGAGCAATGGTGATGTTTCAAGGTAAGTGTCTTTTTAAATGTTTTAGCATTTACTGGTATATATTTGTTTTAAACACTGTTGATTAAAGTTTCTATTAGACTTAGAAAATTTAAAGTGTAGTAAGTTTTAACTGAAAAACTGCATTTAATATAAAATGTTGAGCAAATTACATTCTAAATAATAAGCAATAAGTGAATAAGATTAGAATGTATTCGTAAAATTTAGGAATATTTTCCCTCTTGAGTAGTAATTTGCATCTGATATTTTAATTGCTAGATTTTATCTTCTGTTTATGTAAGCACAAAATATTTTCTTTCTAAACAGTCTTATTGATTCCACATACAATAATTTTTATTGATAAAAATAAATGTAAAAGACACCCAGTTGAATGAACTACACTTGAGGAAAATAATGCAGAATTCTGTTTTTTATTCTGTCAGTGTTAACGCTTAGGATTTAGAAACCAAATGTCTTCAAACTTTTCTTGTAGTTCTGTCACCTAAAATATTAAATATTGTTCTGGGCTGTAGCACAGTGGTAAAGCACTTGCCTAGCATGCCCAAGACCCTGGGTTCAAACGTTAGCACCAGAAAATAAATAAAATAAAATATTGATAAACTGCGATTGAATCACAATAAGTACTTTATTTAAAATGAGATTTTAAGGAGCTCTAGAAGGCATATCATTGAAAAATATGGGGTGTTACTTTGAATAATTATTTGCTAATAGTTTATTATTCTTATTTCAAGAGCTTAACAGTTTTTACATTTACCTATGTAACCAGATTTTAAATTATTCTCTGAATTTTTAAGTCCCAACTCTGTAAATAGAGCACAAGAATTCCCCCCCTAAGATTTTTTTAGAAGAAACTTAATTCCTTGATATTACATTAATCTGATAATATAGTGTTTCATACCATACGTATAAAAGTTTAATTTGTTGAGTTTGAAGAGAATCATACAAGTCATTAAAATAAACTGTTGATATAGCAAATATCTATTTTCTAAAGTTGTGGAGGTTGTTTTGTTTTGTTTTGTTTTGTGGTGCTGGGGAATTAAACCTGGGACCTCATGCATACAAGGCAAGCACTGTACCACTTAACCCCACATACCCAACCTATTTTCTAAAGAATATTTTAGGTCTTAAATCTTTGTGGGAAAGGGTGGGCCTCCTGCATGCTAAGCAAATGTTCTATCACTGAACCACTAGGCTTAGGTCACAATTCTAGAATTTTCTGTAGAATTTTTATTTTACTCTTGGAGATTGGTCAAGCTCACAGCTTCTGATGTCTCTTTTTAGGGCATTTGACACTCTTGCAAAAGCATTGAATCCTGGAGAGAGCACTGTAGAGGGAATGGAAGGAAGCGTACACCTAATTGCTGGAGATTCAAGCATAAATTACATCGAAAAAGAGGGGCCACTTCTCAGTGATTCACATGTAGCTTTCAGGGTATTTCTATATGTTTTTAAATTTTCTTATTGTGCTATTTGATTCTGATGTTCCTTTCAAAAAATGAAAGTGTGTTTGTTGTACTTTTAAACTAAAAAAATATCCCTGGTTAGAATTCCAAAACGAAAACTAATGTATACATCTGGCTAGAAAAGATAATGGCTCAATAAAGCATCCTGTTATGATAGTAATTAGTGTGCTTAAGTCTTAAAAAGTTAGCTTTTACAGCTCTTTAACCATAATTGTTTTTTTATTTTGAAGTTTAAGCATTGGCTTTAATGATGTTTTAAGTGCACTGCTTTTTGTTCAATACCTGGCTACTACTACTTTGGTGTAAATCAATAACTAAGAACCAGATATTCTGTGGTACTACAAAGAACTCCATTTTTCTAATCACTCTAATTAACTTTTCAGTGTTGTTATAAGAAGGTATAAAATTTTAATAATATTAGTTTTTTTTAATGCTACTTAATTTTTAAAATTTTTTAGTTGTAGATGGACACAATACCTTTATTTTATTTATTTGTTATTACATGGTGCTGGGGATTGAACCAAGTGCCTCACACGTGCTAGACAAGAGCTCCACCACTGAGCTTCAACCCCAGCCCTAGCTTTTGGTTTTTAACCATTTTGGAGGAGACACATTTATTTTTTTGCCATAAATATATTCTTCAGAATGGAAACTATACACATAGAATACTAGAAACAATATATGTAGTAGACTAAAAAGTCACTTTTTAGTATTTGTTTTGTTTTCAAATGTTATTTGTTCCAGAGTTATAAATATGCTCACTATTGAGACCTCACTTTAAGAACCTATTATTTGGCGCTCCATCTTAACCACTCTGTATCTCTGCCAGCTGTGGCTGATGTTAGCAAGATGTATGTAAAGTGATTGAATATACATGGGAGGTTTTCCTTAGCAATCAATGCAGGGCCTAACTATTCTGTAATGCCTTAGGGTGATTGCTCATAATTTTATGGTAGATTATAACAAATTTCTTAGGAAAACTTGCACAGTTATTATATAAAAAGTGTATTACCAGTAGAAATAATGAACAGAAAATAAATATAACATTAGCCAAAACTGTGTATGATAATGTCTTTTTGTAAAATTCAGTTTGTAGAAACAGCTAGAGAAAACGCATTGTGACTTTAATAATGGCAGATTGCTATAATTTAATATAGTAAAATATATTAGTGAAGCCAATTTTCATATAAAATTTTACTAAAGAAAACTTTAGTAAAATTCAAAATGTTTTATCTGTACTATACAGGGCATTTTTAAAATATTTATTTTTTAGTGGACACAATATCTTTATTTTATATTTATGTGGTGCTGAGGATCAAACTCAAGTGCCTCAGGAATGCAAGCCAGCACTCTACCACTGAGCCACAACCCCAGCCCCTATACAGGGCAATTTAATATGAATAATTAGTGTAATCTGCTGGGCAAGGTGGTGCACACCTATAATCCCAGCAGCTTGGGAGGCTGAGGCAGGAGGATTTGAGAGTTCAAAGCCAGCCTCAGCAAAGCAAGGCACTAAGCAACTCAGTGAGACCCTGTCTTTAAATAAAATACAAAATAGGGCTGGGGCTGGGGTTCAGTGGTCGAGTGCCTCAAGTTTAATCCTCAGTTACCAACCCTCCAAAATTAGTATCATCCTAAAAAATTATGCTAGGTGTAAACAAGGGTGGAGCAAGGCAGATTTTGATTATTTTTTTCTCAGTGTTGTTTTTATTCTAAATAGAAGATATTCTTTTGTTGGTTTTATTTTCTGCTCTTCTACTTAAATGGGAAGAAGGGCATAATGAGACAAATGCAGGAAGAGGACCCAGTGTGAGGAAAAAGGACAAAGGACTTGTTTAGAAAGAAGTTGTTCAACTTTTTGTCTTTGATGTTGGTCCTCAAGATTTTTGCTCCCTTGAAATAAGAGTTTTAAACAGATGAATTGGAAAAACTAGAACTTTGTTTTTCTTTCTGGAATTGGCTTTTTTCCATTCTATCTTTGACTGTTATACCCCGTGTGTCCTCAGAGTTAGCACTGTGAAGCTTCTTTGCTGCTGAAAAGGACAGCTTGTTTTGATTATTATTTACAGTTCTGTTATGTCGAGAGTTTTATGTTTCCTTGATTTCTCTTGAAAAGTTCCTAGAGCCAGGTCATTTCATGGTTGGTTCTCTCATTGAAATTTACTGGTCATGACTTGAAGACTGACATCTGTAATGAGATAGCTCAGTTCTCTTATTTGCTAGGCTAAATTATAGCATGTTCTTCAATTTTTTTACAGCACATTTTCACATATATTTCTTATTTCTTCCCTTAAGTCTCACTACAGTCTTCTGGGGACATTTGAATTTTTATTCTCACTTGGTAGATGAAGAAAGATATTAAGAAATTTTTCAGCGTCTTTTTCAAAATGACCTACATAGTCAAGAAAAGTAGTCTAATAATAGAAATAGAATAATAAATAGAAAAATAGAATAATAGAAAAATAGTCTGATGAAACTGGAAGTTGAAAAATCTAGAATGATAATAATGTATAACAGTTTTATTAAACTCGAGTCTTGGGTATGATTTCATATACCTAGTTCACTTGATTGTGAAAATTTCTTTTAAGAATAATCAATATAGATAGTATTTCCATTTTAGAAATCAACTTATGAGACAAAAGATGATTTCCAAAACTTTTCTTTTTTTGTGTGAGTTATCTCAATATTAGAATCACAGTGTTTTTAGTAACCAGTGTTTGCATCTTGGAAATCCTTGTCATTCTCCCCATGCCTTATTCCTATCCATACCATAACTGAAATTTAACCTTTCTGGTATTTTTGAGTTTGTCCCTTTCTGCTTATTCCTGTCACCATATTTTAGACCTTTTAAAATCTCCAGCTTGAACTATTAACAGTAATATCGTTTCCAGTCTGTCTTCTTCATCTTGTCCTGTGCATTGGTATTAGAGTGATACTTGCTTTAAAAAAAAAAAAAAAAAAAAAAATTCAATCTAATAATGCCACTTGGCTATTTGTAAGCCTTGAGCTGAGAGTGTAGCTCAGTGGTAGAGCCTCCACTTAGCATGTGGGAGGTCTTGGGTTTGATCCCTGGGCTGCCAATTTTTTTTTATTTTATTTTTTTTTTTTTTTTGGTACCTGGGATCAAACCCAGGGTCACTTAACCACTGAGCCCCAGCCCTTTAAGTTTTATTTTGAGACAGGGTCTCACTAAATCCTTAGGGCCTCACTGAGTTCCTCAGGTTGCTTACAAACTTGCAATTTTTCTGCCTCAGCATCTCAAGTCACTGTGATTATACTGCATCTGGTGCCAGTTTTTTAATTAAACCAGGTATAGTGGCACACACCTGTAATCCCAGCAATGTGGGAGGCTGAGGCAGGAGATCCTCAAGTTTGAGACCACCCTGGGAAACTTATCAGACCCCATCTCAAGATTTAAAAATGTCTGGTGATACAGTTCAGTGGTAGAGCCTTGACCTGGCGTGTGCAAGGTTCTGTGTTCAATTCCTACTACAAAAAAATAATAATAATAATAAATTAATTTAAAAAATCAATAAAACTTTCAGTAGCTTCTCTTACCCATATGGAACTAAGTTCATTTTAGGGCCCTCCACATTCTGATCCAACTGCCCATTATTTCTCACACATGTATCATTTCCTAGCTTAGCCATTTTCATTTTATTCCTCTACTGAAATAGTAGCACAGGGATGCTTTCTGTAAATGGTTTTTGGATGAACAGTCTACATAGTCATATAAATAATTAATAAAGAGTTAAAAGGTAGAATCCATACCCTAACTAAAGTAACGTAAAGCCTACATCATGTATACTATTAGCAGAATTCCATACAGAAATAGTGTTAGAAGGATAATTGCAAAGGCAAGTGATAACCTCTAAAATAGATTGGTCAAGTTTAGGTCTTGTCTATACCCCTTAAAAAATCAGTTCAATTTATTAATTTTCTATAGTTTAGAAAATATGTATCATTCTGTTTAAAAAATAAAGTTTCGGGAATCTTTAACAGCTTTGTAGTAGAAACTTCTATATATGTATAAAGAAAATGTTGTTTCTTCATCCACATTAACTTTCTGATCATAACAGTAGAGGCATATTAAAGTCTGTAAAAGATAAATCATAAAACATTTCCTCTTTTTCCAAAATAATATAGCATGATAGTTGTTTTTTTTTTAATAATGAGCTTCTTCAGTGTATATAGCAAATTATTTCAACTTTTGTGATTAAAACATGGGAAAGTTTTATATTATCACCACTGTTGTGGGAATTAAAGCCATTGTACCTAGTTTTTACATGTTGCAAGTATTTTATTTATTTAAAGGCCATTTAAAACTATTTAGTAAAGGGTATTTTTTTATTGTTGTTTTGCTTTTTACTCATTCCTCCCCCATAAAACTAGAAATGTTTGGTAATTCCCCAAAATTTTCAGGCTTTTTTTCCCCTACTCACCTTGAGAAATTCTGAAATGGTATGATAGTTCTCAATTTTTAAATATAAATGTTCATGTGTAGAGACAGTTGTCTTAAATGTTTAAGATGTTTAAGTTTGCTTGACGTGTTAAGAATTGTCTCATCAGGCTCAGTGGCTCACGCCTGTAATCCCAGCAGCTAAGGAGGCTGAGGCAGGAGGAATGAGAGTTCAAAGCCAGCCTCAGCAATACTGAGGTGCTAAGCAATTCAGTGAGACCCCATCTCTAAATAAAATACAAAATGGGGCTGGGGATGTGGCATGGTGGTCAAGTGCCCCTCCGAACCAAAAAAAAAAAAAAAAAGAATTGTCTCAGTTGTATTTTATTTCACTGCCTCAGTAAACATTATGAAACATTTCAAATTTTTTCTTCTTAGGTCTGAGCATGTAGCTCAGTGGTAGAGCATGTGCTTAACATGTGCAAAGAGTTGGATTCAGTTCCCAGAACCTCAAAAAAAATTATTTTTCTTTAGATAGGATTTCATCTATTAATCTTCCTGTTTTATTCCTTAACACCATTAATAATTAGGTAAACCATTTGTGGCTAATATTGAACAAAGACAGTTTTTTCTTTACATTTTTATCTAACATTTCTAGAGAATTTTTACATCATTTTGATGTAAACTTTGATGTTTCACCAGGAGAACCTGGTGAAAGCTATACATACGTTCCCCAGCAAAATACATTTGTGCACATCTATTTACCCCACCTCAGAGTTAGTCACTATTTCCTGTGTACTGTGCTTTCCTTTGTCCTTTCTATATACATATATATGTATGAACACTTAAATATTCTCTGTATTATAAATCAGATCATCAACATTCTGTTTTGTAATTTTTTCACTTAGATGTCTGCAAGATATTTTTTCTAGTTTTTGCATCTCAGTTTATATTTTTTAATACCTACAAGGTATTCTGTTCTGTAGTATGGATTATTCTTTTCCCTTGAGGAAATTTGGGGTTGTTGCCAGCATTTAGTTTCACCATTAGAAGTAGAGCTACAGAGAATGTCTTTAGTTGGTCTTCAACTCCTGGGCTTATTTGATCCTTCTTCCTAAGCCTCCTGAGTAACTGCAACTAGAGTTGCACACCACGATGCCCGTGATATGTGCTTTTGTGTGTGTGTGTGTGCATGAATTTTTCTGGAATAGAAATACAGACTGAGTATGAAATGCTTGGACCCAGAGTGTTTTAAATTTTGGCAATTTTTTTGGATTTTGGAATATTGACAGAGACCTTACTAGTTGTTCATTCCTAATATGAAAATCTACAGTGCTCCAAAATCCATAAATTTTTGAGCTATGAAGTGTTTCAGATTTCTGATTTTTGGGTTAAGATTACTTATGACCCACATTGGAGGCCGAATAATTTTTTAAATACTTTTTTATTTAGTACTTTTTTTTTTTTTTTTTTTTTTTGATGGTGATACTGGGATTCAAACTCAGAACGTCAGGTATGCCAGGCTAGTGCTCTACCACTGAGTGACATCTCCAGACCCCCTTTTTTAAATAAGACTTTACAAAAATCCTGAGCTTTTTGAAAAATTGAAGGAATGGCAGTGTTGAGCCCAAATTCTCATGTTTTATTTATGCTGGATTCAAGTCACTGCAATGCCGTTTGTCTGGGAGTATGCTCTCCCCATTTGGCACCGGTATTTCTGCTTTACTTGTTAACTTTCCTACCTCTGTAAGCATTTGAATGTTATTAACCCTGTAGTCTAAATGAAACAGGATTGCACGTGAATTTGTTTGTGTACTATTGTTAGTAGGGAAGGAGAAAAAAAAACGCATTGATGAACCAAGATAGGAAGTAACACAACCAAATAATACCATGGTTGATATTTATTAAGTTAGATTCTGCTTTTCTGAATATTGCTTTGATAGAAACTGTGATCTCATTTATAAACCCTTTTGTTAACTTAAAATCCAGTAATTTGGATAATTTCAAGATTTTTATGAGCATATTAGATTCATATTGATGTGTTCTGTTTACATTCAAATTTTTTAAAAAAATGATAATTTAGAACTTTCAGTCATAAGATAATTTACCTAAATCCCTGTTCATACTAGCTCACCATGCCTTCTCCTATGCCTGAGTACCTGAATGTGCACTACATTGGGGAGTCTGCCTCCAGACTGCTGTTCTTATCAATGCACTGGGCACTTTCGATTCCTTCTTTCCAGGCACTAGGGTGAGTGTTTTGAAGTCCTTGAGTATAAATGTGATTTTGTAGCACAAATGTATATTAAGCAAAAACTTTTTATTTTGGGAGAATTTGCATTAAAGGAATAAAAACGTGTAACATTGTGACTTTTAAATTGTGTCATTTATATGACAAATTATGGCAGCTAACTAACAATTTCTCTATATTATTTTTATGTGGGAGAGTATCCATATTTCATAGTTTACTGACCAAGTTAACAATTTTAGTTGGAATATAATAAGTATTAAAGTTGATAGATCATGGCTGGCATTGGTAATGGCCGCCTTTGGTTGTGTCAAGGACAGTGCAGCTGTAGGATTGCCCCAGGTTGTTTCTCCTCCCACCATCACTTTCAGTATTCATTCCAGCCATGTTATTGGGAGCTAAAGTTTGCTTACAAAGTTTATGTTTAAAAATAGAGATAATTATTTTTCTAATTGTGTGGTTCAGTAGAAAAAGAGAAAGAATGAAAATGTAAACCCCATAGTACAATTACAATGATTTAAAGAGTTGATCTTACCACTGAAGAGTACATCTGTATTCTAAACAGTTTACTTTCACATCCTTTCCATCTGTTTTTCCTTTTTTTAAAATGGATGTCTCTACCCATCCCGATAGACAGTATTTTGAGTGTAACTAAGAAACAACTGAAACATGAAAGTAAAAGACATATTTGAAACTGTAATTACTAATTAGTGTCAGACATATCTATCAGTGTATTCAATCATGAATTAAGTAGTACAATTACATAGGCTAAAAACCTGATTTAGAGTGATAACTATTAAAATGCTGTTAGCTCCTTCTCTCAAAACACAGTGTAAAATTTTACACAATATCAGTTTATTATTTCCTTCCCCACCACCCCCAGTACTGGGGATTGAACTCAGGGCTTCAGGCAGTAAACTGTACCCCACCCCTTTTTTCTTCAGGCAGGATCTCACTAAATTGCACCAAATCTCACTGTATACTTATTATTTTTAAAGTAATAAACTATCCTGACACTGTGACACACGTCTGTAATCCCAGCTACTCAAGAGGCGAGGCAGCAGGATTGTAAATTTGAGGCCAGCCTAATCAATTTACGAGACCCTGTCTCTAAAGTAAAATAAAGGGCTGGGAATCTATTTCAGTGGTAGAGCAAGGTCCTTGTTTTCAATCCCTAGTACCTTAAAAAAAAAAAAAAAGTTCTTTAAGATCATAACTGGTATACTTAGGCCAGAAAAACAACCTGGTGTATTTTATTGTAATATGTCAACTAAGAAAGGAATTTGGGGTGTAATTTCAACTCCATGGATTAGTCATGACATCATTGATCTTCAGTGCTTATTTTGAGTATGATTATCCTATTGCAAATAATCCAGATGTTGGGGGGCAGCCCGAAGTTTCTGGTTATAAAATAATTTTAGTGTGATAATCACATTTCCCTGAGAGGTCTTTATTGAAAATCACTTTCAATGTAACAACCACAGGATTCTTTACGATTAGAATAATTACTAAGATAGCAGTCAAGACCATTAGGTGGTACATAAACTCTTATATCTTATTGCCTGTCTAGATATAGATCTTATGCTGACTTAATCAGATGGATAAGGACTAGATACTAATGATGGAAGAGTTTTATGTAGAAATAAAAACTTCTAAATCTAGGAACTGGCATGAGCTGCATTTTTATTGCTAGATACAGAAGTTGGCAAAAAAACAACAACATAATTTTATAGAGAGAAACAGATAAGCAGTTTGTTATTTGATGACTTAGTGGAAGAGGATAGTAGCTTTAAAATTTTTTTTAATTGTGTAGTTATTTGTATTTTCTAAACATAATTTCTGTACTTAAAGGAATTCAGGGGTTTTTTTTAGTTCTTTCTTCATAATTCAAGTGAAGCTCTACATAGTCATAGGACATTCTGTTGAAGGGCAATGGGGGCACTATGCCTGATTTGCCTGGAGTACGTATGGCAGTAGTCCTTTCCACCTAGATTCTTTATATTATGTCACCAAAATTCTGAAACAAGGGGCTAGAGTTGTGGCTCAGAGGTAGAGCACTCACCTAGCATGCATGAAGCACTGGGTTTGATCCTCAGCACCACATAAAAATAAAATAAAGATTAAAAAAAATCTGAAAAACATTGTTTGCCACAGGAGACTATTAAGTAATTTGAGCAACCTTCCATGAAATGTTAATCCTGAAAGTTGAATCTTTTAAAATACCATAAACAATCCAATATACTGGTAACTTTGTGGGCTTATTGCCATATCATTGATTATTTTCCCCCAAGGACATGCCTTCAATTGAAATAGATGGTGCCAGGGAAAGAATAATGTGATGAGTTATTTGTGTAGATTACAAATCGTGGGGTATAGGTGATTTAGTCAACTTAATGCTTTTCTGAAGTGCTGGGAATTAAACTCAGGGCCTTGTTCATGGTGGGCAAGTGCTTTACCAGTGAGCTACAATCCCAGCTCTAGTGCCTTTTTTTGCTATCGTTATAACCTATATTGCTTTCTGAGTGCTTGAAGGTACCTTAACTTCATTTGCTACCCAGCTCCTTCTGCTTCTCAAAGGAAAGATGTTTTGGAAATAGGTAGTAGAATGTGACTACAATAGTCATTTGTTAATTTTTTTCCTAACAGGAAAAAACAAAAACAGAAACTGATAGCCAATATGCCCTTACCATCCCAAAGTATTAGCTTTAAATGAGGTGTCTCTACTGAGAAATTTTACTTTCATAGTTTACCTGCTAACTTAGGTAAGGAATTATTATTATTTTTTTGAAAAAAAAAAAAAAAACATAGCCTTTAAACATCTGGGTTTAAATCCTGGTTCTAATTCCTCTGCAACTTACATGTTTTTGGACTGGGTTACTTTAAATGAGACTAATTTCCCCCCCCCTCTAGATTAGGAGCAGACACTTGCTTATGAGTTATGCACTTATGTGAGATAATGAATGTAAATTTAATCCTCTGCCTGCTACAAAGTACGAAGTGGTCATTTTTCTTCATACTTTTGGGAACCTTTTTTAAAGGGGGTTCTTGTTTTTCTCTCCTAATGGAATGAACTTTTAAAAAACACTTAAACAACATAACTAGCTAGAGTACCAGGGGTTTGGGGGGTTTTGTTTTGACTCCAGATGCAGATAGAGAGCTTTCTGTAATTGATTTCTATTATTTATTAACTCTTTGACTTTTCCTTTGAAAACGAAATTACCTGGTAATTTATTCCTTAATCACCAGTTTTATCTTATTTCTTTAGTAACAATTTTGATGTTTCTCATCTTCTGCAATGGTACTTATCAACCTTTTCTCTGAGCCTTCCCAATATTGTCAGGGTACTTTTCCTTTTTTTTTTTTTTTAAAGTCATTCGGATATATTTCATGACAATAGTTAAATTAAACTATAAATTATAAGTAGGAACAAGACTAGAAATAAAGAATAACAAATATTCTCAACTTTGTGAAAATTGAACACAGTTTTAAATAATTCACTGTTGATGTAATAAATCAGAAAATTTTTTGTACAACATTACAGTCATATTGATAAACATAATAAAAATTGGATCTACCATCAAATTTATGTCCTGATTCCATATATTTTTAATTTTTATTCTTTTTAGTTATATGATAGTAGAAACCATTTTGATGTATTTATACAAGTTTGGAGTATATCTTATTTTTGTCTTGTATATGTACACAATGGTGAGATTAACTGGTGTATTCATATATTCATACATGTTCAAGGTACTTTCTTATAAGGGTATAGCACAGGCCTCTATTATTTATTTCCTTTCCTGTGTTCACTAGGTAATTACCTTGTTTAGCTGTTTCCTATTTAAAATTTCAGAGTTAGTTAGAGGTCAAGGTGAAAATTGGTTCACTTTTAACATTTCCTCATGTTTAAAATAATACTGAAGTATAGAACTATCAAGTTAAGCCTCACTCTCCAGAGGTAACTAACCCCACTGTTAATAGTTTGATATCCTAGATTTTTTCTATGACACCTTTATTAAACCATCAGAACACACATTTACATAGCCTATTTTTTGCCTTGCTTTTTCACATATATTTTGGACTTCTTCCTACGGCAGGACATGTAATTTACCCTGTTTTTCTTAATGGCTACCCACTATTCCTTTTTATGGGTTTATTATAAACTAACTTACTTGTATTTTGTTTGTAGACATTTAAGTTATTGCCAGTTTTCTTTGTTGTTATATCCAGTGCTATAATGCACATTTTTGCCTACCTGTGTATTATTTCTATAAAATAGATTCTTACAAGAAGAATTGCTAGGTGTAAGAAGGTGGACATTAGTATCTTTTATCTTTCTCTTTGATTTTGCTTAAACTGAGATTGAAATTTTGAATCCTTTTCTATATATTAATTTTTTTTTTAATGTTTATTTTTTAGTTTTCAGCGAAAACATCTTTGTTTTGTATGTGGTGCTGAGGATTGAATTCGGGCCGCACGCGTGCCAGGCACGCGTGCTACTGCATGAGCCACATCCCCAGCCCTATATATTAATTTTTTAAATAGGGGTTTTCTTTGTATTTAAACTTTCAAACTTATTTTAATAGCCAATTTCTTGTGATGTATAATCCTTCTGAAGCATTGACTGAGAAAGAGATCAACCTGGAGTTAAAAATCTCACCTGAATAATTCCTGATCAGAAAAAATTACTTTCTTAAGTTTGCAGTATTAGCCTTTGTATTGAGTGTGTGTGTGTGTATATATATATATATATATATCTTTTTTTTTTTTTTATGGCAAGGATTGGTACATCCCCTGCCCTATTTTTTGCTTGCTTGCTTGCTTATTTATTTATTTATTTATTTGCAGTTGTAGATGGACAGAATGTCTTTATTTTATTTGTTTATATGGTGCTGAGGATCGAAACCAGTGCCTCACACATGCTAGGCGAGTACTCTGCCATTGAGCTACAACCCCAGCCCTATTTTGTGTTTTATTTAGAGACAGGGTCTCACTGAGTTGCTTAGCACCTCACCATTGCTTGAGGCTTTTTTTTTTTTTAAATGTGGTGCTGAGGATCAAACTCAGGGTCTCACACATGCAAGGCGAGCGCTCTCTTGAGGCTGTTTTTGAACTTGCAATCCTCCTGTCTCAGCCTCCTGAGCCACTGGGATTACAGGCATGTGCCACCGCACCCGGCCTATTCTATTTTTTAACAAAATGTAATGTAACAAAGAAAGCTATGATTCTTAATGATTTCTGTTGAACACACTGATGATCTTAATTTAAGAAGGAAAAAAAAGTAAGTACCATTCATTAGGATGCACATATTTCTGATTAGGATGTTCTTACCAACTGAGAACTCTTTGGACAAAGGAAACCAATCTTATAATTTCATTATCTTAAAATAAAATTTATAGGTTTGGTTTAAAGATTGCTTGATTGTAGAAGGACCCATACCCCACAGGTTTTCTAACTGTCTTTTCTAAGTCTTAACTTCTACCTGCTGTATGTCCCCCAAAATCAGAAAACATGTGTTGAATTCCTTCTGTATGCCATGTACTGTGCTGTTCACTGAGATTGAGAAACACAAGAGAACATTGCCTTCAGTGAGGATTTATGTAATATGGGAGACAGACTTAAAACAATAAATTAGGGTACCATGAACTATGAACATATAGTTAGCACCAAGGAAGGGAGAGGAATGTTGCAAGAGAATGTCTCTTCAAGAAAGTCAACTTTGAAATATGTTAAGGGTCAAATAACCCTATTAACCAGGAAAACAACGCAGGGAAGAACATTTCTTTTTTTCTTTTTTTTAATTTATATATGACAGCGGAATGCATTACAATTCTTTTTTTATCTTTTTTTTTTTAGAGAGAGAATTTTTTAATATTTAACATATTTTTTAGTTTTCGGCGGACACAACATCTTTGTTTGTATGTGGTGCTGAGGATTGAAGCTGGGCCGAACACATGCTACCATTTGAGCCACATCCCCAGCCCTACAATTCTTATTACACATATAGAGCACAATTTTTCATATCTCTGGTTGTATACAAAGTATATTTACACCATTCGTGTCTTCATACATGTACTTTGGGTAATAATCATCATGACATTTCACCATCATTCATAACTCCGTGTCCCCTCCCTTCCCCTCCAACCCCTCTGCCCAATCTAAAGTTCGTCTGTTCCTCCCATGTTCCCTCTCCCTATCCCACAATGAATCAACCTCCTTGAATCAAAGAAAACAGTGCAGGGAAGAACATTTCAAGAAGACCACTTTTAAGTAATTCACTCAACACTGTTTTTTCTTCTGTCCTAGGAATTGAACCCAGGTGCACTCTACCACTGAGCTACATCCTCAGACCTTTATGTTCTTTTATTTTGAGACAGCATCTTGTTAAGTTGCTCAGGTAGATCTTGAACTTAGGATTTTCCTGCCTCAGCTTTCTGAATAGCTGAGATTGCAAGTGAGTGCCCACCATATCCAGCCCACACAACACTTTTTATTGAACACCTATTATACACTTGTTATCATCATGGCATCTGCATTTATTTTTTTCTTCTTCCTGGAATATTATTCTCATAGATATTGCTTGTGTGCATGCATGTATGTGTGCATCAAACCTATGGCCTCACACATGCTAGGCAAGCACTCTACCACCAAGTTACATCCCCAGTCCCATATTTTTAAAAAATTTCTCTGCCATCTTTCTCAAAATTACTGAAATTTCACTGCCTCAGCAATGGCTTAGAGAGAATTTTAATATTTATTTTTTAGTTTTCGGCAGACACAAGATCTTTGTATGTGGTGCTGAGGATCGAACCCGGGCCGCACACATGCCAGGCGAGCGCACTACCACTTGAGCCACATCCCCAGCCCAGCAATGGCTTCTTTAACCACCTTAGCTAAACCTTGTCATTTTCTTATGTATCAAACTACTTTATAGCAATGTAGAATTGTCACTACCTGAAACTTACTATGTGTATAATCACACACATATATATAGTATTTATATAGAGCGTTTGAAATTATACTTCTGTAGTGTTTCCCTTCTTTTTCATGAAGGCATACGTAATATATCTTGTTAACTGCTAGTTATCCAATGCCTCAGAGAGAACTTAGCATGTTATGATCTGTTTCTCAATATAGTCATATTTTTTAATTGATGCATTGTAATTACACGCATTTATGGGGTGCATTGTGACATTTTATTACACTTATAATCAGTTGATCATGGTAACTGTCATATCTGTCACCTTAGATACATATCATTTCTTTGTGTTAGGAACATTCAAAATCCTCTCTACTAGCTGTTTTGAAATATTCAATTATTATCCACCATAGTTATACTATTGCACTACAGAACATTAGATTGCTCAGGTAGATCTTGAACTTGGGATTTTCCTGCCTCAGCTTTCTGAATAACTGAAATTGCAAGTATTGATTTATACTTTTGTTTTTGTTTTTAATAGCTGCACCCCTGCACCCCTGAGACCATTAACCTTCCTTCATCACTTCCTTCCTCATACCCCCTCCAGGATCTGGTCACCACTATTCTATACTTCTTTGAGGTCAACTTTTAGCTTCCGTATATAAGTGAGAACATGCACCTCTTTATAATTTTAAGCATGATATAGTATATACAGTGTCTCTGCATTTTAGAAAGTTATGCAGCCTGAGACCTGGGGAGCTTACTTGTCTAATTTCAAATGGATAACTGATTTTTTAAACCATAGTGCTTTGTACTTCTAAATACTTTTTCTATTTTCTTATGCTATGAAGAGAGTTCTTATTCAGAAATTCAGGAAAGGCCTTTGGCTTTTTGTGTTATTCATAGTAAAATTGTGGGTATCTCCTTCACAGGGATACTAATGTCTCTTCTGAATTATAGAATGAATCATTTCTCCACCAAATTTATTGCTTTCCTACTGCCAAATAATTCAGTTACCTCTTTATAAATTTAAAGGAAAAGAAAGCCAGGCTAGGGATATAGCTCAGTTGGAAGAGTGCTTGCCTTGTATGCATAAGGCCCTGGACTTAATCCCCAGCAACACACACAAACACAAAAGGCTAATTGATATATATACACATACACACATGCTTTTTTCAGTGGGGAGAGTACTCGGAATTTAACTCAGGGGGTACTTTACCACTGAGTTACATCCCAATCCTTTTTATTTTTATTGCTGAGGCCCTTGCTGACTTGCTGAGACTGGCCAAAAACTTCTGTTCCTCCTGTCTTATTTTAAGTTTATAATATTACTTTTAATTATTCTTAGAAACTAACTGATAATGAGCTAATATTTCAATTCTAAGCACTTTTCATCAGTTGCCCTCAGCTATGCAAAACATAGAATTGATAAATCCCTGCTCAGTTGGTGTTTCTAAGTAATTTTAGTTCAGTAATATTTTTAAGTACATGGATCAGTTCTGAAGTTTATAAAATTTATTTTAATATTTGATTTATACTTTTGTTTTTGTTTTTTAATAGGCAAGAAAACAGCATATCATTGGTAAAAGCTTACTGGAATGAACTTTTTACTCTTGGCCTTGCCCAGTGCTGGCAAGTGATGAATGTAGCAACTATATTAGCAACATTTGTCAATTGTCTTCACAGTAGCCTTCAACAAGGTAAAAAGCACCTTATTTATTACCTTTTCCAGGATATAGAAGGAGGCATCCATTTTATAGAAGGTTATGACTAAAGTTAGATATCCTGATGATTATATTAATGTTTTAGGTACCTACCCTTTTAATGCAATTTTTATATTTTCTTTTTTAAATATTTATTTTTTTAGTTGTAGTTGGACACAATACCTTTATTTATTTATTTATTTTTACGTGGTGCTGAGGATTGAACCCAGGGCCTTGCGCGTGCTAGGCAAGTGCTCTATTGCTCAGCCCCACAATTTTTACATTTTAGATAAGATTTATTAATCATCCTAAAATACTGTTAAATGAGAGTGCAGCAAAATTGAAAACTAGGATATTTAAGTCTGGCAGGCTATCCTAGTCCATTTCCTGTTGCTGAAGCAGAATGCCTGAATTGGAGTTATTTGTAAGAAAGAGGTTTATTTTGGCTCATGATTCTGGAGGTAGAACAAGCTGGCACTGCCATCTGCTCCTCTTCTTGTGAGGGCCTCATAGTAGAAAAGCAGAAGGGCAGGCAGGTACCTTTAGGAAAGAGAGCACATGGCTAGTGAGGAAGCCAGAGAAAGTCAAGGAAGCCAGACTTGATTTTATAACAACCTGCTCTCCAAAGAATGAGTCTCAGTCTTGGGGAAGACATTAATCCTTCTTAAAAAGCCTTACCTCCTAACACCCCTACATTGGCACCCAAGTTGCAACATAATGGGACAGATCACATCTATAACATAGCCCAGACTATTTTTGACCAGACCCTATGTATTTTTATAGTACAGTACAGAATCCAAAAAGCTAATGTAGAGGTGCTCAAATCTCTAAAATATATATTTCCCAATTTTAAAACTGCTTTGCTTCATTATAGCCCTTTGATTCCCAGTATAGGCTGGTTTCATACCAGTTCAACAGAGTATATATTCTCTCATGTGCACAAAGGAAGAGTCATGGAACAACTTTTACTTTCTTTTTCCTTTGCTAGATGCCAAGGTGATTACAATTGTCATTCATTTCAGGAGACAGGCAATAACTGGTTTATAAAGTACTTAACTTTAGAATGGCTTATCACTATAACCAGGAGGGTGTTTCAGCCTTTTGAGCTCAGGAATGCTTTTTACATTGGGGACTACTTTTTAGTTCCTTACTATATTCTGGTTTTCATTATTTTACATTATCTTTATTTATTTTTTTTTTTTAATATTTACTTTTTAGTTGTAGTAGGATACAATACCTTTATTTCACTTATTTATTTTTATGTGGTGCTGAGGATCGAACCCAGGGTCAGGCACGTGTGAGGGGAGTGCTCTACCTCTGAGCCACAACCCCAGCCCTTACATTATCTTTAAATCATCTGCTTTCTCCTCATATTTAAGAGCAGAGAAATCACCTTAAAAATCTCATTTTCAGTAGATCTATTAGAAGGCAGTACCACATTTCCATCTTATTTATATACTTCTATTCCTAATTCTTTTCTTGTATACTTGTAGTTTGCCACATACCACCTACCTTCAGAAGGGCTATGGTTGACTAATTACTAATGTCTTATACACATCCTTCCACAGTACACTAAAATATTTACTGTAAAACTTTTTTTTTTCTCAGTTTTTCTTTTATCTTGGCAGGGTTTGTTTGTTTGTTTGTTTTGCTAAATATTTGTTTCATTATAGTAGTATTGCTAATTCTTAAAGATGGGTTTGTGCATTATTTTTTCGATCAATATGAGCTTAAGTAAAATACTGTTACTATATTTGGAGTCTTTTGTACTTTGGCCAATTTTGGGGATGATTGTCTCTAAATCTTTCCTTCTCAAAGATGTTTATTGAAAGAAAATGTTACCTTAAGTGTTACTGTAATAACAGTTTAGTTTTTGAATGAGCAATATCTGAAGATGATTAGTTTCATCTATAATTATATTCTGAATTTTAAACATTTATAGATTGATTATATTCAAAATTAGAAATCAGTAAGAAGGAAATATCATGCATCGAAATAGTCTTATGTTTTAGATGAAAACTAGAAGTGTTTGTTTTTTAATTAAAGATAAAATGTCACCAGAAAGGAGAAAATTGTTGATGGAGCACATCTTCAAGCTACAGGAGTTTTGTAACAGCATGGTTAAACTCTGCATTGATGGATATGAATATGCCTATCTGAAGGCAATAGTACTCTTCAGTCCAGGTATATAAACATTTACTTCTTAATTAAAGTACAGTGTTTAAGGAAATGGGGAAATTGAAACCCTCATACATTGCTGGTTGGAATGTAAAATAGTGCAGTTGTCTTGGAGAAGAGTTCAGTAGTTCTTCAAAATAATAATCCTGGAATTACCACTATGACTGGAAGTTACATTCCTGTCAGTCTAAGAGAAGTGAAAATATGTATCTACACAAAAATATGCATATCAGGGCTGGGGTTGTAGCTCTGTGGTAGAGCGCTTGCCTTGCACACACGAGGCACTGGGTTTGATCCTCAGCAGCACATAAAAAAATAAATAAAAATTGTATCCATCTACAACTTAAAAAATATTTTTTACAAATGTGCATATCAATGTTTTATAGCAGCATTGTTAATAATAGCCCAAAAGTAGAAACAACTCAAGTGTCCATCAACAGATGACTGAAGAATCAGCATATATATACCATGGAGTATCATTCAGCCATGACAAGATGTGAAATTCTGATATGTGCTCTATAATATGATGAACATTGAAAACATCTAAGTGAAGGAAGCCAGTCACAGTGGAACACATATTGTTTGATTCCATTTATATAAAATAATGCAGTGTGGGCAGATGTGAAGAGAAATTAAGTACATAACCGTGGTCAATAGGGTCTAAAGAGCTAGGACACTGAGGAGTATCTCCTAATAGGTAGAAAGTTTCTTTTTGGAAGGACAAAATGTTCTAAAATTAGATTGTGGTGATGATTGCACAACTCTTACCAAAAAATCTTCCTTGTATTCTTTATATTGGAGAATTTTAAGGGTGTTAGACATCTGAGAATGAAAAGGAAGGTTGGAAAAGCAGTGAAGGCATGTATAGACTGTATTTATTTGGGTTGTCAGGTCAACATTGAAATTTTGTAAGTATATTTTGTTAGACATAATAAATACCAGAATGAGAAACAATTGTTGCTATGTCAGGGGGCTAAATTCTCAAACATCTTATTAGACCTAGTTTCTTACTTTCCTGCCAGTTTTCTAGTTTTCCAAAGACAAATGACAGAAAGCTTTCAATGATCAATTTATGAATAGGAAAAATTTAAGAGTTTTTATTAGGGTCTGTTTTTCATTTTGCTATGTATTTCTGTCCCTGTGTGTCATAATGAAATTATCTGAACAAATTTTTCAGTGATAACAGTAAGATAATTAGAGCTTATTTGTACTATTTATTCTAATGTTCACATGATTTAGTAACGTGTCTCCATTTTTCAATGGTGCTAGAGATTGAACCAGGGCCTTGCACATATTAGGCAAGTGCTCTGCCACTGAACTATACTTGCAGCCATCATATGTCTCCATTTTTATCACAGGCAATGTGCCACCTTCATTTTCTATAGATGAAAGTTGAATGCATCATTTTTATGAAGTTCTTTTAGTATTCCCAGTTTTGTGAAATGTTACAGTGACCATTGAAATGCTTGTGTAGGGGCTGGGGCTGTAGTTCAGTAGTAAAGCACTTGCCTCGCATGTGTGAGGAGACACTGGGTTCCATCCTCAGCACCACATAAAAATAAATAAAGATACTTGTGTGTTCATCTACAACTAAAAAAGCAATATTTAAAAGAAATGCTTATGTAGATTATTTTACATTTTTTGATAGTGATAATGTTTATGTTTCACAATTTCATAAGTACTTTGTTACCTAACAATAGTTGGGTTTTTTCCTTAAGAAAAAAAAAAATACTAAAATACCTTCTAAATGCACATACTATTAATAAAAGATAATTCTTTAAGCTGTATCATTTTGGTTGTTCATTCCTTTTTAAAACCATAAAATGGTCAAAATCTCACTGCCTTTGGAACAGAAAGAAAACTTTTGTTTTTGTTTTGTTTTTAGTTATAGATGGACACAATACCTTTATTTTATTTTATTATTTTTTTTATATGGTGCTGAGGATCGAACTCATGCCTCACACATGCTTGGCAGTGCTATACTGCTGAGCCACTTACCCCAGCCCAAGAAAACTATTTATTTTGGTAACATCCAGTGATCTCATTTTTTATTAGATGCTAGAATATGTATATGAGAGAAAATAATTCAAGTATGTAAAGTCCAGTGTTTGGTATATAATAGGTGGGCTTAATAAATATTTGTGTAATAAAAGTGCTGCGCATTATATAAATTGGCTTCTTTTTTGACTAAACTATATTTTCATCTCCACTTTCAAGATTTCATTAAATGAACATTCAGAACTAGGGTAACAGTATATTCTTTATTGTTTCAGATCATCCAGGCCTAGAAAATATGGAACAGATTGAGAAATTTCAGGAAAAGGCTTATGTAGAATTTCAAGATTATATAACCAGAACATATCCAGATGACACTTACAGGTATCTAGATCTTAAATACTATATAATTAAATTCATTTAAAAATATTTTGTGAGTCTTATTATTTCATTATTTTCCAATATAAGAATAATCAAATGTTTTCAGCAGCATTATCTTTGGACTAGCTAATGCTACTGGAAGCAGTAGTGTGACTGGGATGTGGCTCTGTGGTGGAGCACTTGCCTGGCATGTGGGAGGCCCTGGGCTGATCCCCAACACCAGAGGGGAAAATAAAGGAACAGTTCATTGTTGTGAGTACTTTACGCATAGTATATTCATCAGTTCTCACATTTTATATGGTAAGAGAGACAGGATAAGTAACTTGTTCAGGGTCACTGTTTGAGGCATCCACTGGGAATCCTGGAACTTAACCCCACCAATGAGGGGGAACTACTGTGTGATAAGGATTAAGTCAGTTCATATGTGTGAAGTACTTAGAAGCACACCTGTTATGCAATAAGAGCTATGTAAGTGTGCTTATATATAATGAATAAAACAGTTTAGCATATTTCAAACTAATAAAAGAACATTTTATGTATAACACTGTGTTATACCAAGTCATGTAGATTTATAAACCAATTCCATCAAGAAAACCAGCCTTGGTTTATCTGACTAGTTTTCCTACCCTGCTTCCTTTCAGTCCTGTGGATGGGGCTCACCTGCTGGGAACAAACAGGAACTGAGTATTTTAGTAGTAGAAATGTGCTATACAGGAGCTCTTGTCTCATTTGGTCTCAATTGTTAAGGCAAGGCCAGAGGAGGTTTTGCATAAGGGGCAGTTGAATCAAGGTTTGGTTCCAGTGGTCTTGATTCCATGTTCTATAACAACTGCTATCTGTTACACCATTTCCAATAGTTTTTTTTGCAGAGCATAATCAAGAAAACTTATTGAATCTCATATATCATAATAACACAAAACATTGCATTTGTACAATCTGAAAGGAGTTGCTAAGTCATTCTTAATTGTATAACCTGACCCATGGTTTAATAATTTAGTTACCTGGTCCTTAGATCCAAGTGGGACAACAGTTGAGAACAAGGCTTTCATGTAGAGCCTTTTAGACTACACTGGTATCCAGGTGACTGTCTTAGGTTTTACACACAAAAAGTAGATCTTTATTAAATTAGTCTACAAGTAATAGACATGCATAAATTACTAATATCTTTCTACAAAATCTCTAGTATTTTCAACTTTGTTCCCCTGCCCCCTTTTTTCTTTTTCATTTTAGATTATCGAGACTCCTACTCAGGTTGCCAGCTTTGAGATTGATGAATGCTACCATCACGGAAGAATTATTTTTCAAAGGTCTCATTGGAAATGTACGGATTGACAGTGTCATCCCACATATTTTAAAAATGGAACCTGCAGATTACAACTCTCAAATAATTGGTCACAGCATTTGAAAGCTGAGATCATAGTGCTATAAACTTATTGTTCTTTTCCAGAACACAGGAAAACACCAAATTGTACTCATTGCTTCCATAGTATGTGCAAATTTTGACTTTAAAGACTAACCAAGGGCTGGGGATGTGGCTCAAGCGGTAGCGCACTCGCCTGGTATGCGTGCGGCCCAGGTTCGATCCTCAGCACCACATACAAAAAAACAAAGATGTTGTGTCCGCCAAAACCTAAAAAATAAATATTAAAAAAAATTCTCTCTCTTTCTCTCTCTCTCTCTCAAAAAAAAAAAATTCTCTCTCTAAAAAAAAAAGACTAACCAAAATTCAAGAAGACTTTTTGAAGTGACTGGGCAGTCAGCAGGAATTAAATATCCCTTTCTGTCTTACATAAATAAATAAGAAATACTATGGATTTATTCTTGGTAAAGATGACATCTGAAGCTGTCACCTCCAGACCATCTAAACTAAGATTTCTATTTTATAAAGCAAATAAATTAGTCTCTTTTTTTCCCCCAAATTGTGTTCTATTCATATTCAGCTTCATTTTGAACTAGTACGAACACTTAGTGGTCAAATATCCTTACAGAGAATTCCTTGCATTTTATTCTTCATAATGTAATCTGTTTAATTGCCATATCAAAAGATTATTTTATGCTCAATGGTATAATGATAAAATTAGAACTGTAGGAAATAATAATTGAATATGTATTTTTTTGACTTTTGTAAATATCATGATGTCCTTAAGCATATACTACTCATTGCTGGCAGTGAGATATAGGTCATTTGTGATTTTTAGTGTTATTATACCTTATTAGTTACAAGCACTTTTTATTTACACGGCAGCAAATGGTTCTGAGAATTGGTTTTGAGAATAAGGTGGCATTTGTGGTTTAATTTTTTTGGTTTACTGCTGTGTTTTAAACATAGTAGAGACTAACTGAACCCAAAATGTTTCAGTATTTCAAAATAGGTATTAAAATTGTTGTTCTATTCCATAAAATAACTCTGTCCTTTCCCTCTTTTCTGATCTGTGTTGTAGCTTCTTGTCCCTGCTCTGGGTTCTAGCCAATTCCTTTTAGGTTATTAAAAAATACCCTAAATTTGTTAAATAATGGATTTATCAGAGCCCATCCATGTTTCCAAAGCGAGTTTAACAAAAAAGCAATTGATCAAAGATAAAGGAATATGCACTGATTTTTCACTGTAAAATGGAGGAGAGCTGCTTTAGCAGTAGGTGAGGCTCACCCTGAAACTGGTGTTGCCACAACAGCATCTCAGACTCCTGGGATGCCTTCCACAGTACTGTTACAAGCACAGCTGGTTCTGTTAAATCTCTTTACTCTGCTTTCATTATGAATTATTTTGATAAATTGCTTGTGGGTTTTTCAAACACAAATATAAAGATTTTATTGCACTCATTACATTTTTTAATAAGCAATTTTACAATAGAGGAAAAGTTAAAGTTTGCAGGTGATGCAGATTTTACTAATTACTATTTTTAGTAGTAGCCAAAAAGTTTCAAAAGTATCAACTTACGCTTTTTACCAGTGTATTAAGGGAAATTTTTTCCCTACTTAAATTAAATCATAATTTTTGTCACCTTTATTTTATAATTATCAGCTGTGAAAAGCTTCATTTAATATAAAATGCCCACCTGGAAAAGTCAGTAGGTTGATACCTTTTTAATCCAAGGTAGTAAGCCAAGGATTCAGAAAAATAATTCTTTAAAATAATGTACTAATGATTAATTACATTGTTACTTTCAGGTATTTTTCCTGATTAAATTTGTAGATATATTTGGAAGTGTTTTTAAAACTATATTAAAATGTGACTTGCATTACAAATTTCTGTATCCTGCCAGTATATTTTATTTCAGTGTTTATTTGCTCAGTATTTGGATATCCTTCATGTCATGAGGCTGAGAATATAACTTAGCAGTAGAAATGTACGTTATCCCTGGGCTCAGTCCCCAAGACCAAAACAAAAAACATTTATGTCAGTATTGTAGGAGCAAAAATAAATAAATAAATAAAGCCAGGCACAGTAAATAGTGCATACCTGTAATCCCAGGGATTTGAAGGACTTGAGACAAGAGTATTACAAATTCTAGACCAGCCTCAGTGACTGAGACACTGTCTGAAAAAAATTAAAAGGAGTGGGGATTTAGTGCAGTGGTAAAGCACCCCTGGGTTCAATCTGCAGTAGCAGATTATATCCATTGATGGGGAAATGGATAAGTAAATTGTGGTATGGTACCCAGTGAAATACTATGCAACACCAAAAAGGAGTAAATTGTCAATGTGGATGAATCCCAGAATTATACAGAAGAGTATAACTTAACCAGTTCGTTGGGGGGGGGGGGGGTATACTCTTGAAGAGTAGTACTTATGTGGTAAAACTGAGTTTAAAAAAGCAACAGTCTTCCTGGGTGTAGTATTATACATCTGTAATCCCAGCAGCTTGAGGGGCTGAGGCAGGAGGATTGCAAGTTCAAAGCTAGCCTCAGCAATGGCAAGGTGCTAAGCAACTGAGTGAAACCCTGTCTCTAAATTTAAAAAAAAATAGGGCAAAACAGTGGCTCAGTAGTTGAGTATTCCTGAGTTCAATCCCTGGTACCAAAAAAAAAAAAAAAGGCAAGAGACTTAGTAATACTTAATTTAGAATACTACTTATTTCTAGTGGGGTAGGAAAGTGCAAACAAGAAGGGATATATAAGGGTGTTCAAAAGTATCAATAGTGCTCCAGTTATCTATTGCTTCCTAACCACCCCAAAGCCTGAAAGAACATAGATTTGCTTATGAATCTACAACCTGGACAGCCTGATAGGAACAGCTTGTCTTCTGCTGCATTCAGCCAAATCTGGGTCTGCTCAAGGGTGGGTTTGGAATCTATGAAATCACATGTCTGGAAGTTGCTGGTGGCCATTTGCTGAGGTGGGACTAAAGCCAGAATGTATACACAGTATACGCTCCCTTTGTTTGCTTCCTCACAATATTGACAGTTCTAAGAACAAGGGTAGACAGGTGGAAGCCACTGCCTTTTGTCACGTGTCATTAGAAGCCATCCACTGTATCTGCTGTACTCTGTTCATCAGAGACACCATAAAAGTCTGTAGTTTCAAAAGGAGGGGAAATACTCTGCATCTCTTGGGGAGGAGTAGTAGCAAGCTTCTAGAAGAACATGTGGAGCCAGAAGTGTACTGGCCATTTTGAGGAAAGGATATTGTATCTCAGCAACCTCACTTAGAAGGCCAAGGTAAAGAAGGGGTTATCCAGACAAGGTGGGGGGGATGGGAGGCATGACTTTTGTCCATATGGATTGCTTATAAATTGATACATACAAAATTTTATAAAGTTTAAGCTATCGTATCGCTATGGACTAAAAGATAAAGAATAGCCCTTTATGTTGGCAGGAAGACAGCCAAAGAAACTACTCCGCTATGTGCCTGTCCTCTTGTAATTTCCTTGTGGCTACTGGGGCAGATGTTAAGAGTGAGTACAATGGGGAAGTGATCGTCTTTTCTCGCCTGTTCTCAAACCAAACAGTATCACTTACTTGCCATTTTGTTCATTGAGGCAAAGGCCTACCAACATTCGAGGAGCATTAAACTGTGTGAGTGTGTGTGTGTGAGAGAGAGAGAGAGAGATCGTCAAGCAAATCCAGGGCCAAATGCATGCTAAGGCAAGCATTTACCCCTGAGCTACACTCCCAGCTTCCAAAACTATACCTCATAATACAAGAGTGGCAAAAATTCTCTTAAATTTCGGGAGCCAGGCGTGGTGGCGCACACTAATCCCAGCAGCTCAGGAGGCCGAGACAGGAGGATAGAGTTCAAAGCCAGGCTCAGTAATTTAGCAAGGTGCTAAGCAACTCAGTGAGATCCTTTCTCTAAATAAAATACAAAATAAGACTGGGAATGTGGCTTAGTGGTTGAGTGCCCCTAAATTCAATTCCTGGAACAAAAAAAAAAAAAAGGATGAAAGAGTTTTAAGTCATTTTTAGAAAATATATTATCACAGTATTCTTTTTGTTAAGCTGGATTGTAGATTCTTAAGATGAAGTACACACCCTTGGCTAGGTATAGTGGCATATGCTTATAATCCCAGCTACTCTGAAGGCTGAGATAGGAAGTTTACTGAGCCCAGGAGATTGAGACCAGCCTGGGTAACATAGCAAGGCCTTTTCTCAAAATATAAAAACATACATATGTATAAACCTTTGTATGGACAAAGGACATGATAAGTAAGCACACACAGCTGAAAAAAAAATCCATGCAGATGATAATTGAAAGTGTAGGATAGCCAAATTATATATATGACAAAATAGACTAAGTTGAAAATCATCACCCACAAGAGACTAAAAAAATTGTATAGTGATAAAAGGATCGATTTCTCCAGGAAGATATAACAATTATTTATGTACCTAACATTGGAATGCCCAAATATAAGTGAACACTGACAGAACTGAAAAAAAAAAAATAGAATAATTGTAGGAGATTTTGAAATCCCACTTTCAATAATGGATAGAACAACCAGATGAAAGATGAATCAGAAAATGGAGGACTTGAGCAACACTTAGACCAATTAGATCTAACTGAAGAAGGGCACTCAACAACAGCATAATACATATTCCTCTCAAACATACATAGGACATTCTCCAGGACAGATCAAATGTTATATCACAAAACATGTTTGTTTTTGTTTTGAATCAGGTTTTTCCTATGTTACCTAAGTTATCTTTGAACTTGGGCTCAAGCAATTCTCTTGCCTTAGTTTCCTGAGTAGCTGAAATTACAGGAGAATTCCACCCACCTATAAAACAAGTTTTGACAAATTTTAAGGAGACTGTATTAAAAATATCTTTTCCTTGGGCACGGTGACACATGCCTGTAATCCCAGCAGCTCGAGAGGCTGAGACAAGAGGATCGCAAGTTCAAAGTCGGCCTCAGCAAAAGTGTGGCACTAAGCAACTCAGTAAGACCCTGTCTCTAAATAAAATGCAAAATAGGGCTGGGGACAAGGCTCAGTGGCCCCTGAGTTCAATCCCTGATTACCACCCCCCCCCCAAAATCTTTCCTGACTATAATGACTATTAACTTTATACTTTGAGGAACTGGAAAACAAAAGTTAGCAGAAGGAATAATAAAGATTAGAACAGAAATAAGAAATGAAAAAATAGTTGGTTTT